AGTGGAAGGCTGAAATCTGCTCCCCGTTGGTATCTCCCTCACGTCTTCCCTGAGACTTACAACTGCTTTGTTAATTGCCTGTTGCTGCTGTCTTATCCCAACCATTATTTGCTGAGGTCTGTATGCTTTCAGCAGGCTGTGCTCTTGGCCCTGGCCCAGGGCTGAGTGAGCAGCATGTTGGAAAATGATGAAAGCTGAGTCCTAGTTTGTTTGGAAATAAAAATAATAAGATTTCCTTGCATTTGTTGGTGCTGTCCTGTAGCTGTAGTTCTTTTGCATCCAGCATCTTGGTTGATCCGTACATCAGCCTTGAGAGTGAGCAGGTCAGAGACTTTGGCCCAGGAGGGAACAGCTCACTGTGGCAATGCAGAGGCGGAAGTCTTTCCACTAACGCCATACTTGATGCTCCCTCTTTACAGAGCCACAAACATAGCGATTGTTAATTAAATGGCACCCTGGGCTAGGAGACTTGTGGGATTTTATAGCCAGGAGCTAGAGGTACACCAGTGGGATATGTGTCCATTTTATAGATGGGACACTGAAACCAAGCCCAGATGATGTGGACAGAAAGAAAGTAGTGTAGGGACCAACTTGGTGGAGTTGCTCTTTACCCTGGATATTTTAGAAAAGTCTTTTTGAGCATTTGTTGCATATCTATAAATACTCTAAAATGAAGGCGAGAAACTGGGCTAATGTCTTTGAAACGAGTCATTCAGCTGTGCAGATTTATGTCTTCCAGGGCATTGCTAGTGATAATCCCTTCTGCAGATGCACAGCCGGCTTGTGACTTTCTGGGCCTCCTTTCTTTCGACTTGAGTCATTTCCTCTCCAGTACAGTATGATGTTTTCTTGATCTTCCTCCTGAAAAAGTTTTTAAGTAAGAAAAATACTTCTGGATATTTTGTCTGCTTTTTAGGGATTAGTGTTTGAAGAGGTTTGCAGCTGTTCAGCACATTCCTGAGGGATGCAGACTCTTTTCTCTAGATGCCCAAGTATTGTACAACCTGAGGCTCTCAGGACAGGGAGAGCAAAGACTCTGGGCAAGCAAATGATAGGTGCAAAGCATACAAAGACCAATTTCAATCTCCTAACCAAATGAAGTTTCTTTGGCTCCATGGCCCCAAAGAAAATAAGGCTGCAAAGCCCCTGGAGCAGGAAGCCAGTGTAGCAAAGCCTTCTCCTGCTCCCTGTGAAATCACGTCTCGAGCGCTTGCTTATTTTCCAGCCTGAAGTGTTTCATCTTTGTTCATCCCTGTTGGCTGGGAAAATCGCTTGTGCAGTATGTTTGTGTTCCCCTCTTCCCACCCTCCCTGCGCCTGTCCTGCCTGAGCACTGTCCAAAAACAAATAGATGAATTAATTCAGACACCTCATTTGAAAGGAGGAATATGTCTGAGAAAGCATAGAGACTCAGAGGAACAGAAATACTGTATGAAAAGGTGCAGTTGTAGTAAGAGGCAGGGAACTGTCGAGGAGACAAAAAACAGGTTCTAAAACCTTTGGCTTTTTGTTAAAGTAAAAAGTCTGCACAACTTGCATGCATGAAATAGATCAAAGAACTGTTTTTGGTTTTGGGTTTTGTTTTGTTGCTGTAAGTCTACTTTTAAAGAACAAATTTATATGAAGTACTTATTACAGAGTCAATCAGTGTAAACAGTGAGGCGGTTGTTCATGAATTAAAAATATTGAAATCAAATTATGCATAGGACTTACAGTTTTGTGTCAGGTTATGTATCCAAGTTCTTTCTGGTTTTGATTTGGGTTTTTCACTATCAAAAAAAAAATCCTGAATCACACAGATGAGTTATTGTAATTATAGGACCACTTAAAAATTATTTAGAAGTTCATCTGGGTGTGATGACCCACTGAGGCTGAGGCTGAGGATTGCCATGAGTTTGAGGCCAGCCTGGCCTTTATAGTAGGTTCGGGACCAGCCCGTACTACATAGTGAGAGCCTGTCTCAAAAAACCAACCAGCCAACCAAACAAAGACAAATTTAAGATGTTTAAAAAAGAAAGATTTTTGTCCTGAAATCCAATCACTGACATTACCTAGCGACTTTTCTCATTCTCCTTCATAGATGTTAATTAGGTGAGCCCCAGCAATTGATAATGAAGTGAGGGTGTAGATTCTCAGGAGCCAGGCAGGGTCTGCCATGAGCCCAGCAGAGGCCCCTCAGCCTTCTGTGACGCAGTGAACTTGACTGCTCCCCTGCACGGCTTTATTCCAGGAAGCACACAGTGGCTTGGGTTAAAAAAGAAGCCTGCGCGGAACCCACCCATTGCTACTTCTCCAGTAGACTACGTTGGTCTCTAATGTGGGGGTCCGGGGCCGAGCTCTTCCTGCGGGGGTCACTCATTATTTGTATAGATGGTTTATTGTTGTTTTAATTGAAATATGATTTTTCTGCTATTGAGAGTTTCTGAAAATAGAGTTTAAAAGCTCACACTTAGTGAAACCGGCAATAGCTGTCCAACTTCGTGCTGTAAGGATGGGAATAAATACATATGGTAGAAGTACTTGTACCTTTAAATAAGTTCTTGGTAAAGTTTTTTGGTAATAAGGCATTCTCACTTTTGCTTCCTCCTTCTCTCCCTCCGTCCCTCCCTCCCTTCCTTCTTTCCTTTTTCTCTTTTTTGAACTGGATGATGTTGTGATAGGTCCCAGGACCTCAGGTATTCTAAGCCCTTGATCTACCACCAGCCCCCATGTACCCTGGTCATTAACCCCTATTTGTTCGCTTATCTTTTCTTTGGAGGGTACCTGGGGGTGTGTATGCCTTGCATCCTCTTCTGTAGCCTTGGGCTGAGTTTGCTTTCATGCTCCCCTGTGACCTGTGGCTTCCCTTCCTGAGCTAGTCTGGCTTAGCCTGGCTGTCCAGCCCTCTGATGACAGCTCCTTCATTTCCTGCACCACACTGGGGTGACACCAGTCTCTTAACCACAGAAACACCCAATGGCAAACAGTGTTCATCAAAGATAAACTTTCACACATTTGTGAGACTAAATTATAGCATCATTTTTGTGTGTGAAGCACAATAGAGACCTCCAACTCGTATTCTCCCCTTGAAAGCAGATGGAATCCAACTGTAAATATAAAGCCTTCTGAGATCTGTGCTTCTAGAAAAGTGTAGTGGCCTGGTACATTTCATGCTGACTGAGGATGTGGGTATCATTCCAAGAGAAACCACTTGGGGAAATGTAAATTAGATTTTTTTTAGAACATTATAACTAAAACTGATTTGGAATTAATTTGAAAGTTTCCTTGTAATAGAAACAGCAAATATCGTTGAGTAAATGTGCTTCAGTCTCTCACTATTTTAGATTTAAGATTGTTTCCTGTTTAGCTATATTTTTTCAGATGTTAAATACTTACAAGGAAATGAGTTGCACGTATGTTTCCCTCTTCGCTACTGTAGTTTTTAATTTTCAGAGGAATCTTAATTTCCCCACAGAGGTAATGGACATAATGTTGCCACCCTGATTGGCACATTAAGTGCTAGTAATTTTGTCCACAGAAGAAGTGCCATCTCTGTGATGCAGTGCAGGACTTGTGGGGACAAGGTTAGGACAATCTCATTTGGATTGTGATAGTTGTGGGCTTGAATCAGCTTCTTAGATTGGCAAGACAGCTAACTGATTTGCTGGTCTGAGTGTTCAGGAGCCCATGCAGGTGTGATGTGACTGTTTGTTAATGTCATTGCAGAACTAAAAAACTTGGTCAAGTTGAAGTTCCAGCTTTACAAGTCGCAGGTGCCTGGAACCCTTCAGTACTGGCCAGGACAGTGTGGGTCCAAGAACCAAGCCACTGTCAACTGCTTTGTGTGCATTGAGAGTCTGACTGGAGGGAGGCCAGGGAAGGGAAAGGTACAAGTTGGGGTTCTTCTCAGAGCACTCTCTTTGCACTTCTGTACTGGCTTTGAATCCCAGCACTGCCACCTTTTTGCTGTGTGACCTTAGAGGAAGGTGTTAAATGTTCCGGTGGTCCACCTTTCCTCATCTTTCCACAGCAGCCATCTGCTCGGACAGTTGTGGGTGTGCAAAGGCCCCGGCCGTGTGCCAAGCACACAGTGACGCTTGACAAATAGCACCATAATGATTCCTACTTTGTTTCTGTCTTTGAGAAATCAAAATTCCAGGCGCAGAACTTTCTGTTCCTAAAATTAGTACTGTGAACTGAGGTGATAATTCTTTCTGATCACCTTGCTTTCCTTTAAAATGAGAATCTGAGAGTTAGCACTCTGGCTCTTCTCAAGCCCTAAATGTTTTAGGAATATATGCAGTACTTCCAGGCATGGCTCATGATCTTAGTTACGTGAGATGTGAGACAGGTTCAGTCAGTGAAATCAAAATTCCTTAGATGGGTTCCATAGAACTGAACTTTTCAGAGCAGATGTCACCAAAGTTGCCTTCATTGAACCCTACAGTAGATAAGCTTTTGGGGATTTAGTGTCATGCTGCAGAGATTTTTGCCTGTGGATAAAAATCGTACCTTTTTTTTTCTAACCCAAGTGATAGGCCAAGTGACCCAATGGCTACAGAATGGACTTTAAGTCAGTTGGCCCAGACCTGTTCTAGTCAGACAGTGCTGAACTGTGCTTCTGGTACCTGTGACTCCTTACGTGCTTACAGACAAATTACAACCTCTGTCAGCTTCTGTTTTTAAATCAGTGAAAAGTCATCAATGATCGTTCCTTCATTACAGTGAAATGATGGTGCTTGAATGTGGCAGTACATTTAAAGTTTTCCCTGAGTTCCTAGGACATAGTACTTAACAGTAATCCTCTTCCTCTCATTTCCCTTTCCTTGTTCTTATTTTTTCCTGTTTTCTCCACTGAGTTTTTAGAAAAGAAAAATACGTAGTGATCAGGCTTTAGGAAAGATATCTTTATTTCTGGTTGTGCTTTGCTTGCTGTGATTTTGTGACATGAGCTCTAATTGCACATGTAGGCCCTGGTTGCTTACCAACATTGATTTTATTTTTCATGCTATTTCTTTACAGGAAAGATCAGAATGTTCTCTCTCCAGTCAACTGTTGGAATCTCCTCTTAAACCAGGTGAAACGGGAGAGCAGGGACCATACCACCCTGAGCGATATCTACCTGAATAATATAATTCCTCGATTTGTCCAAGTCAGCGAGGACTCGGGAAGACTCTTTAAAAAGGTATGTAGATATTGTTTTGGTAAAGCAGTGATACTGTCTTATAAATAGGAGAATAGGTGTCTTACTAGCTTTCTTGTCAGGCTTTTATGTGGCTGTTTTCTACTCATGTTCATAGAGAAGAGAATATCTGAATGGGCATTCCTTTCATCCTCTCTGAGCTGAATTAGTATCCCCCTTGGAAAGTAACCATTTGCAAGGTTCAACCCTAGGGCTGGCGCCATTGTTAATTATCTGCGTATCTCAATAACTATTTTGGTGTTTGTTCAAGTAATTTGCAAAGCTGTTGGGATTCAGGGAACTTGAGTATTATGTCATATTTTCTTCTAGTTCATTTAGCATATTCATGCATGTTTATGTTTTTAGTTAGATCTCTTTCCAGGTTTTCATCTTGGACAAGGTAGGTTTGTGAATTTGGTTATTCGTCTCATGCTGCATCTTTCCCACGAGTCCTTCAGGGTTTTCTGAAGCTCACCTCAATTGATTGAGCAATTTGATCAAAGAAAAACTAAAAATAGATTCAATAATCTTAAAGAATTCACCTTTTCTGTCGGTAGAACTAGCCTCTTAGAAATCAGAATCCTCTTGTGATGAACTCTTAGTGGAGCCATTTATTCATGAGGCCTGGCTACAAATGGTGGTAAAAGCACCAACCATTACACATATTAAACTAAGCCTGATACTCAGTCTCTGACATCCCCAAAACACTTTCCCGAAGATGAGTAAACTTCCCGTAAGTTGCAGGGAGAGAAAGAATTATATAGGGCTCTTCAGAATTCATTGGTTTCTAGTGATTGAATGTTTAGATTTGTGGCCGTGAGAGAAAAGACTCACAGGCAGGATCATCAACAGTGCATCTGCAAACTCTTGATCAGCTTTCTAGTCCTTATTGTAAGTTTTCTAGACTTCTCTAGGTTTGGAATTGGTACTCAATCTCTTCTGTTTCTACCAGTGTGAAAAAAGAACTGAGTTACAGCCCCTAGCTGTCCGTGGACTGACTCAGGAAGGGGTCTTCCCGGTGTCTCAGAGACAAGGTACCCAGGGTACAGTCATCCAGCAGAGTAGAGGAGAGAAAGATGGCTGCTGCCCTGCACTTAACTTAGGGATAAGGGTGCTTTACACCATCTCCATAGTTCCCAGCATCTGCTCTCATTTGCTTGTTACTAATTTGAATTCTTCTGCAACACTTGTGTGACTAAATGAAAACCTTTCGAGGCAAAATCTCAACAGTTATTGGTCACCACTTCAGCCTTTCTGTGTGACCTTGACAACCACTTAGATTATCTCAGCAGGAAAGGATGGGCTAGTAGTTTCTGCCTCCATTTTCTCTGTTTTGAGAAAACACTTTGGCTGGGGATGTTCACCTAGGTTGACTTTGCCTAATCTGTCAGCCTTCTTTGCTCCTACTCTCAGAGGCTTTGAGACTAGCGTCCAAGCTGGGGAAGTCTAGCTTCTCCAGATCACAGATGACTGTGGTGAAAGCCGCGAGCTTCCCAGGTGCTCAGCGCCATTTCCTTGGAGGCCTCCATGTGTGACACATGCGCGAGGCATGGGGCCTGTTACCTCCAGAAGGCAGGTCCCCTCCAGACAGTATTTCCGCCATGGTGTCAAGGCTGCCCTTCATTACTGGTGCCCTTTATGCTGGCGGTGTAAGGGAGATCTTACATAGGACTGTTTGTGTATTTTGTGGGACTTTTTATATATCTCATAGAGGAAAAGTGCACTCAACTTGGTGCATTTGCACAAAGTGAACCCACCAAGGAACAAAACATTTTACTACCTTAGAGGACCACCCCCATGTGCCCTTTTAGTCCCCCCCTTCTAGGCCTGTCAGGATAACCACTCTTCTGACTTTTCATGGAGGAAATTAGTATTGCTTCACCTCATATTTAAGTAGAATCATACGGTCCATACTCTCTGGAGTCTTGTTTCTCTCACTTGACATTACATTTGTGAGTTTTTCCATAGTTTGTACATTACAGGCTGTAGAACTTTCTCTTGATCTTTATGACTTTGTTTCAGTTAGATTATAGTTGATCAGACTGATGCAGAGGATTGCTGAGTGGCCTACAGAGTGAATAATCTCCTTCCCCTCCCTTGGGACCCCAGTGTACACAAAGAATTCTAAATAAACAGATTAATTCTGTTTCGGCTGGGTAAGGACCTCTCTGCTTTCTAGAAACAGGCAAAGAAACATTCTCCATACCCCAGTTTTTCAGTTTCTTTTGTTTAGAGTGTGTTGCACATGATAAATTAGAATCTCACTGGTTAGAATATACTGGTCGGATAAGCTGCCTTGGGATGCTCCTAGCTACCCTGTTGGTTTTTTTGTTGTTTGTTTTGCTTTGATTTGGTTTTTGGTTTTTTGAGACAGGGTCTCCCTATGTAGCCTAGGCTGGCCTCAAACTTCTGGGGATCCTCCTGCCTCAGCCTTCAGGTACTGGGATTACAGGTGTGCGCCCCTCCATCCAGCACCCTGTCAGTTATGTGAAGCTTCTTGGGGGCTTGCTTTGAATATCAAAGCAAAGGCCTTCCTCAGGTGGGCCTTTCTTTTGGGTCCAGCTCTGTTAGCTCTGAGCCCATGGCCACTGACTCCTTGGGGTGTCTCAGTTCCCTCAACTGTGATCCCCATGACACCTTCTAAGTACAGTCTGGGACAGTTCTGTGATCGCCAGCCACACTAGGGGCTTCTGCTAGGTGTTGTGTAAACTTTGTTAAATTTTGGTAAATAAATTGCAGTCCCAAGAGTGAGATGGGCTGTGGAGAGGGCTGATTTAAGTCATTGAAGACCAGGTTTCTTGAGGAATGAAGAGTCTCTCAGATCAGTAGCCATGAGATGCCAAACTGAGTCTAAATGTATAAAATAGGTATGTCTTTCTTTTCTTTTACTAGTAAATTTGGTCCTAGCAGCAAAAGGAAAATCCATTTCTTTGTAGACAAAAGCTTGAGAAAAGCTGGGTTTATTTCTTTCTTGACTATGGACAGCTGTGCTTTATGTTAATTTTCATCTACAAAATTCACTGGCACAGTTAATGATGACAATAAGCCAACATTTTCGAATATTTATGCATCAGGTATTGTATTAAGTACTTGATATACATTATCTCCTTTGATCCTTCCAATAATTCTGTAAGTTGGTTACTATCTTTATTTCTATTTTGGCGAAGGAGGGACCTGAGGTTGAAAGAGATTAGGCAGAAATGCTATACAGCTGGTGTTTTAAGTCGCATCCCCTGGCTCCCGCCCTCTCCGGTGTGCAGTGAGGAGGCTGTTCCAAGTTTTCTTACCCTTTTCCATTGAATCCACACATTTCACTGAGTTATAGAATTAACCTAACCTTTTCTTTTGATCCTGACCTCAGAAGCTGTGGAGGTGCTAGACGTCAACATTGGATTGTTCTCTTACCTGGTGCTGGGCCGCCAACTGGGAGTTGGCTTGAAACGGGCAGCATATTTTTCTCCCCAGGGCCAGAATCTCTAGTAAAAGGGAAACAAAGACTCATTAAATGTGAGAACTGGCCAAAAATCTGGATCAAAGCTAATTCAGCTAATTTGAGGATGGCAAGGTGGCTGCACAGTCGGCCCCTCTGTGCTGCTGAACTCCCTTCGGGGTTCTCCTGCTGGCCCTCTGGTTTGTGGTTATGCCTTCTGGGACATACTTCTCATTTTGCAGGAGACTGTGATGGAGATTCCTAAATATAACATCTGGAGAAAGTGGCCTCCTGGCCACAGCCTAGAGACAGACCCACTTTGTCTAGGAGTGCAGGGAAAATCAAGCCCATTGGGTGCTCCTAACATTTCCTTTCGTGTAATGAAAGAAAGCTCAGTCTGTTTGACCCTGTTGGAACCAAAGTTTGGGCAAATATTATTGCTGCCACCTTCATTTGTTTAATGTGGTGGCTTCAAAAACGGTGACCAAACACTGCCAAGTCTGACTGTTGTATCTGTGTAGGGTCTGTGAGAGGCATGTTCTAAAAGAATTCCACCAAAACAGAAATAATTTTCCCCAGTTGATCAGGTTAAAGTGGAAACTTGGGTGTGCTGCTTCCCACAGGCTAGAGAACGATTCTTTCCTCTCCTCCTCCTTTCACTTAGCTGGAATGCACTAAAAGTGGATCTGACTTTGCTTTTTCAGCTCATTGTTTTAGCACTTGACAGCTGCTCACAGTTGAGTTTGGAAGCCGGTCAGTTCAGACAGTCGGAGGCTCTCTGTCAGTTATATCCTTGTTTTTATAGTTCCCCAGTTCACTGTAGTCCTGCTTTACCTCAAGCACTGTAAGTTTCTCAGCAGAAACTCAGGTTGAATTAAGAGAGCAAGGTCAGGTTTCCCATAAACCAGTAGTGTCAATTTTGCCAGTTCACAGAAGTTACTTGGAGGGCCGGGGATTTAATTCAGTGGTTCTGCTGCCTTCCTTGCAAGCCCAAGGGCCTGAGTTCAAGCCCTGATACCAAAAAAACAAAAAAACAAAAGAAAGTTACTTGGAGAGTTTTTAAAATATCTTTGTGACCTTGAATAAAGATCTCTTAGGATATAAAAAGCATGGATTATAAAAGAAAAAAAAAGATAAATGAGACTGATGGGCTCACGTGAGGCAAGGGCCTACGTGCTGGCTCATGACACAGTAGAAGTGAGGCAGGGACCACAGGGAGTGCAAGTGCACGAGCCAGGCTCATCCTGTGATCCAAGCCCATATCAGATACCTAGACCACGCTCACGGTGATGGTTTTAATTCATTCACCCAGTCACCCCCAAAGGTCCCACCTCAATGCACTGTTTCATTGAGGGCTGGGTTTCCAACACTGAACTTTGGGGTCACATTCAAATATAGAATAAAGGACTCTTAGGACTCACTAATAATGTATAGTATGGTACAGATGTTTAAGAATAAGCAAAACATTTTAGTAAGGACATCAGTAGTAAAGATATGTAAATGGCCAGCCAGCTCATGAAAAAATACTGAATGTTATTAATTATCAGGGAGCTGTAAATCAAAACAATGAGAA